TGCTGAAGCAAACCTTGTTCTGACCTCGCACATGTTTATCCCTCCTCCCACCTTGTTCAGCAAGGAGAAATATATAGATGTACCGTTTCACTCGATTACGTTACGCTCTTCTCATGGCCGTGGCTAAGTGTTGCCCTATCAAGTGAAATTCTCTTCCGCGCAGCTACAGTTACTCCTGAAATATGCAGGGTCTGGTACCTGCGCCTGGATTGATGGGTTTCCTATTCCTGAGAAATGAGCGGGAGTTACAAACATCTGTGCTTTTTCTTAAGCGTAATGCTTTCCAGTCATTCTGTCTTCACCAAGCGTAACTTACTTGCCGACAAAAGTGCATGAGCAGCGCTCCTCTTTAATAGTCTGCTATCGGAGCTGCTGTGTTGGTGCTGTAGAATGGTGAGACGCCAAGCTGTGAACCACCATATGCACTTGGCAGTCTTTGTCTGGTCTTTGTTCAGCCAACCTCTTAGCCTTGCCACCTATAAAGATAATGAATGCAAAGTGGTCCTCTGCTTGCTCTTAAAATTAGATGCTCAGCTTAAAGAAAAAGTAGATAACTTGACACTTTGCAGTAACTAGTAATTTCAAAATAAGGGCTGACGGTTCACCAGCAGCACTGCCTTTCTTGTTTTTTGATGTCTTCTGAGGGAGGATCCTTAATGGCTTTGAAAGGCAAGAAGAATGCAAGATTTCGCGTTCGCAGAAAGATTATTTGGAAGGGGAAATCATTTTGGCACTTACTATAGCAAAGGGGGTGGATGCTGAAAAAGCACCCAGAAACAGTAAACACCCCCGCACCCCACCCCGATGAAATATGTTTCCTGGAAATGTATAGTAACTCACCTCAGATTCTTATATTTCTCAAGCTTGGTCTTTTTTTCCAAAGCATAAAAATTAAAATCCTCACTTGAATTAACCACTTTCTAAACTATATTTCATGAGTAGAAAAGAGCAGCTTTAGTGCCTGACCTTCCTTCTGGACAGATTTGATTCTAGCTTGTATGTTGTTATGATCACAGGCCTTTCTAAGCTGGTTTTAATGTAATAACTTGGTTCTGGCAGAGGCCCCATATGAAAACTTTTAAAAGCTGTCCTCTTACAGCGATTTATCGGGCCTGTTTAGGATTGATTTCCATTACAAAACCCTGGTTACACTATCCCGGATATGTTGCCTTGTGAGTTTTATTTTTTGTTTAAGAAAACAAAACAAAAAAAACCCCAAAAGCCAAACCAGAATCAGTGGCTGGTCTGCAAGCTTTGATTTGCACAGAAACCTCCCGACCCGTTTCCGACAGCCCAAGTGGGGTTTTTCTGTTGTGTTTCCTCTCCCCTTCTCTGCCGTTTTTGCCCTGCCTCCTGGCTGTGCCTCTTCTGCCCCGTTGCCAGCCCAGCAAAGCCGTGGAGCCTGCAGCACGGCGGGGGGCACGCTCCGCTCTCCCGATGGCTTCCCGCAGCCCGCATGCTGTCTGCTCGCCCCGCTGGCTGTGCGCGGGGCCCGGCTCCTCCTTGGCCGACAGATGCCCCTTCTGTCTCCGGAGGTGTCGGGCTGGAAGCTGGCTCTGCAAGAAACCGGACAGAGCCATGCTCAGAGCCGGCTCAGCGAAGGACGGGTTATCTGGGGGACAAGGGGGGAGAGGTACAGAATGCCAACTTCTGCCTTAGCATACACACCCCTGAGCTTGTCTGCAAGTAACTGGAAAACCACCCTTTTGCTGGCAGAGCTCTCCCTGAGCAGTTTTTGTGTATCTCTTTAGGACCTGTTTAGTTGTTCGCGACTGAATGTGTGGCAATATGGCCTAAGGCTGTGAATACTGTGGTGATCAAACTGATTTTAGACGTGCGTGGGGGATTCCCCCGAAGCTGGCTGTCATTACTCTGTCAACGCAGTGGCTGAACCAGTGCAAAGGAACGCTGTCTTCCAGAGTAGCGGACTTTGGCAGTGAGGACAGGATTCTCACATACCCCGCCATTTTTAACCAAGTGTTTGCTACAGACTCTGCATATCTGGAGATAACTGTAGCCTGTCTTTACTTGAAAGCAAGTAATAATTGGTTTTAATTATGAGGTTAGCAGGACAGAAGTCTCCTGGTGGTCTGTCTTACTCATGCTGGCAAAGCCCTCATATTTTTTCTTGTCCGCCTTCTCTTGTCTTACTGATGCCCTTTTTTTTGGAGGTGGCAGCTAAAGTTTTGGAGCATCAGTCTTTCTTGAAATTGTACAGGTGTGTAGAGTCAGAGGGCAGGAGTGAAAAACATAGCTATAATATCATACACTACCTACATAATTTTAATTATTTTTTTTTTTTAAGGATCTCCTCTGACAACCTGTTTCACCAGAATTTAGCTCTGTCATCATATCTCTATGATTTTTGGCAGCCAGGCAGACTCAGTGCAATTAATAATTGTTAGATGGATTAAAAGCATAGAGAACACAGAGAGCACAAAGAACAACAGTTGCACTGATTAACAACCTTTTGTTTTCAACAAGTTCCACTGTTTTAAATAGTTATTCTGGGATGTTCAGGAGCACTGGTGTTGCCATGCTGATCCAACCACCTTTTCAGCTTTTCAAAGTGGCCATTATTGCTAGTTTCCAAATAAGTCTCAAAAGTACAGGCTTCTTCAGTAGATACCTGCACAGTGGTGCGTTGTTGTGTTAAGGAGGAGAAATTCTGTCTCTGCCATAACAAGCTATATGGCTTAAAAGTACAAGGTAGCCTCTGGTGCTTAAAATACTACAGCCTGTGTAGTACAAATTTCTGTTTCTTTTCTCCTCATAGAGTGATGTTAGGGATAAGAACTGAATTAAAGCTTACTTTCTTTCACAGAATTCCTCTGAGAGAGAAGACTGTAATAATGATGAGCCCCCTAGGAAGATCATTCCCGAGAAGAATTCACTTAGACAGGTATGTGATCAGTCTCTTTAAAAATGCAATAAAACTTTCCAGCTATTTGAATCCTTAAATGCTTCTGGAAGCTGAAGTCTGACTTGTTCTCCCAGAAATCCTTTCTTTTCTCCTTTGAAGTCTGAGCAAGTCACTTTGTACCTGGGAAAATCAGACACAAAGGTTTAGCTTTCAGGAGAGTTTGATGACCCTTTCTGAAGAAATCTAGACTTTTGTATAGTGCAGTCAGCTGTGACTCTTTAGTTTTACCTTTCTCCATTTGGTGTTCATCAAGATCTTTTCAGCCTTTTCTTCTATAATTGTTCCTATCTTGTTTGTAGTGTATTTTGCCTTGCTTCAGATCAAGAATCTCAAGGTGTTCTACAACAATTAAGCTTTTCATTGCCCTTGAAGGTAAATTTTCTTGGAGGTGATGTCCAGGTTAATAACCTGAAAAATGACCTGTTGTTGTTTCTCCTACACTCATATAAATTACTAATGGGTAGAAAGGGGAAGGGGTAGTCTGATAAAACATAATCTATTTGCCTTCTATATATAGTAAAGCGACTTTCTTACCAATTCAAAAGTATTTTTTTTAATCCCCATGGTCAGCAAGGAGGTCTGGCTTGTGATTTCTGGGGGATTTAAGTTTCATTTAGTGATTTCAGATCCTTTTTCACATAGCACCTTGCTCTTTCTCCCCACTGCAACCTTCAGGCAGCAGAAGCAAAAATATATCTGTGCCTCAGCTGCCTGAGTTTGCTGCCTGGTATATCAGAGTAAAACCATTGATGAATGTGACTGAAGTGAATACCCCAGGCCACACATTGCAACAGCTGAGGAATTGGCACATTTCCTTCTGTGTCTCGGCTATAGGAGTAGCAGTCTTGAGCAGAGGAATAGGGTGGCACTACACTGTTCCACTGCTGTTATTTCCAAGAGAAATTGCGGGTCAGAACCACAGTAAAGGAAGAAATATCATTTTTGATATAGTGTGCTTGTGCTCAGAGTTGTTGTTTTTGTGGGGGTGGGTTTATGTTTGTTTTTTTTAAATAATGTATTGCGTTAAGAGTGTGATGGTGAGGTGTCATGTGAAGAACTACAAATGGCTCAGACAGGTCCATCTAACAGACATAGTCCGTTCAGGTCTGTTAGACAAGAGGCAATATGCTAGGATAATGAGTTAGGTCCAAGATATTGCTGAGAAAGATTACCTTGTAGAATTGATTAAAGATGTTACACCAAACTTAAAATGTTTCTGGCATTCAGAAACAAATAATGAGAGCTAGAGGGGAAAGATGATAGGTCCCTACTGTGTATCCCCAGGATAGCCAACAAGGTCCCCAGCACACCAGAAAACTGTTTTTTTTTTCATCTTGGAGTTATCTTAGTGATGGCAGGCCTTTGGGTTCAACAAGAAAGGTTCATTGAAAAGGTTCATAGTAAGAGATGTTAAGTCAAAAGGAACACGAGTTACCTGTCCTGTGTACCTTCTTATCGCACTGAGTCCTTCCTCACGAGTATTAGGGAGGAGACACTTATTCACAGTATTCAGCAGTACTATACAGATCAAGAAGGTGCAGTTTCTTGAGCTGGGTTTCCCTTCCATTATATTTCAGTCTGCGGAAGTATTCTTGGTGTCTAGGGAAAGCTGTCTTTTCAACAGGCCCACAATTCATTGTAACAAAGGTGCCTAGATATTAAGAATACACCTAAAAAACCTTTTGTACTGTCTAAATATTTTGTATTGGAAGTAATTCACATGGACATTGTTTATGTTGAAGATGGTTAGCTGTTTTTCAGGATATTGTTGAGATGTTGTATCAGTCTCCATCTTTGTGTCCAGTCTTTACAGTGACAGATGCTGGTCAAAACCCTTGGGTCTTCTGATTGCTATGAGTAGCCTTTTGTGTTGAGAACAGTGTGTGTGGACAACTTGAAGATGTAGTCTTAGTCTTAAAGCAAATGCGCTCTTGTCTAGATCATAGGAGGTGGTTGACCACGATTTTGTGCTTGTAGAAGGAGTCTTGGTTCTTTATGTAGACACAAATAAAGCTGTCCGAGCTTTTTTGAAGGCCCGATTGCTCCACATCACTCATTAGTGATGTACAAGAAGCAGTGGGGAGTTTTCCAGCTCTGGTTTTAGAAATCATACAGATATGGAGCCATGTGCCCATATACTCATAATCAATGAGTAGAGTGATGCTTACTGGAAAGATCTGCATCTCCTACAGGAAGGTATGCAGAGTGGCTATATCTATCCATACTTTGTGAAACCAAAAAGATCTGACCTGCAGATGCTGTCAAAGCAGTAATACACAAAAAGTGCTTTCCACCTGAGTGGAAAGATGCTAACTTGGTAAATATTGAGTGTACAGTTTCATATTTTCTGTCCCTCCCTTAAGACATCGCTGTTAATATTTCATTATTGGGGAGCACGGCCCTACATGCACAGAGAAATTGAATGTGTGATGTATGTATGTGGGTAGAGGAGAAGCCTGTTTACTTAAATGGTCTTTCTAGTGAAAGTGTCTACACATTTAGTACTTTTTTATTAGCTTTAGAAAATTAATGAGATATATCAGACCACTTCAGGGGAATTATGATGTCTTGACATGTTCAGCTACTGACAAGTTTAAGTAAAGGTACATTTCCTTTTCTTGCCTTGTTTGCGATGCTAGTATGCAGCCTTAGCCATAAATGCTTTCTCAGGTGGGTTTGAAGAAACATACTGGAAGGTGGAGGTAGTAAGAAGGTGTAGTGGTTACTTAAGCATCTGAAGTTGTAAGCGGGGACTGAAGACGCCCATTGCTCAGCGCTATGAACCTCTTACTAGGAGAAGTATCGTTCTTCTGCTGATTAAAATGTTTTTTGGAGAAGAGTCTTCAGAAGTCTCAACAAATGGAGCTGTGTCCTTGGCCTGCTGGAGGTAGGAGGCACGGCCACTCTTAGGTGCGTGAGGGGCAACAAGGCAGAAGAGATGTGGAAATGGGCACTGGGAAAGGAAACAGAAAAAGGCAATGAACTTGACACTGTTAGCTGGAACAGTGAAAAGATGTAAGCTGTGACAGACTTTGAAGTAGGGATGTACATGTTTGGTTCTTGTTGAGTGCTTGATCTGACAAAATTAAATTTTGAAGGGGTAAACTGAAAATCATAGTATGAAAACAGACTTCAGAAAAAACAATGACAAGTGGCAAAAGTTTTTGGCAACTTTGTTTAAGCTAACAAACGAATTTTCACACTGCAAAGTTATAAATTAATTTTAATAGGCTGATCCAGATGGTCCATTTGGAAAATGGATAGCTTGATCTGTTGAAAATTAAACTAAATTTATCTCTCTCATACTTCAAACTGAAGTAAGCGTGAGAAGAGTGCCCATTAAGTCCAGCTCATACAGATGGACCGGCAGGTCACACATGGGACTAATCTGATTCATTTTAAAAATAAATGCATGAGTTATTGAATCAGGTTCCTGTTTCAAGCCCTGCGTGTGAGCGTGTGTGTGTGCGACACCCTTTCAAAGGGACTCGCGAATGCTTCAGTGCCTTTTTAACCTGTGTGTTTCCATTTTAATTCAACTTCCTTGCCAAAAAACATAATTAGTTTTCAGTGCCTATCATTTAGCGTTAGACCCAAACACTAGATTGATTAGGTCAGGCATTTGTTATTTTAAGGGCTATGTCTCCATTCTTCATTTATGAAGAACATGAGCTCAATAGTCTTGGGGAGAGAGCCGGCCTTTAGAAATGGGGAAGGGGAAGCTCTCTGGGGGCCCCTCCAGCCTTTTAGCTTCTGGGTGTTTTTAACAGAGCCATGAATGCAGATTTGTAAATTTATTGCAGTGCCATCTGTTTTTTTTGCAGGAACCGTATTATTGTTGGCTCGTATCTGTCTATTGTGGTGGTCACTCCCCGGGAGCTTGCCCTCATAGTCCCAAGGAAAGTGATGAATAGTGGGGGTCAACATGAATAGGTCACAGGGCAGCTGTCCGGGGCTGCCCTGAACTTGATTACCCTGCTGTTTTTTAAAGAAGATGGGCACAATGCAGGTTGTTTAAAACCCTTCCCTCCCTTCTCTTCGGAGGAACAATAATGAAGTGCCTTTTGCCGCTGTGGTTTGTCTGCGGGCGAAGGCGCCTTGTGGGGAAATGCTGGCAGCAGCGAGGCCGCCGTACCGTGCCTCCTGCAACCCTCACGTTGCACTCTGCTGTCTTTCTGTAAGCTTCCAGATGGAAGGCCAGGGGAAAAAAATCCCTGTCTGTTACCCCATTCAAACAGGCCCCTTAGCATTTTCAAGAGTTTTCCCTCTTACTGTTTTGGCACAGAATGTTACCTCAATTCACTCTTACAGATTTGAGATCATTTTGTAAAATTACATATAGCACCTCAAACATGCTCTAGGCGCTATTGCGAAGTTAAAATAGACGCAGTCTGATCTTGAGAGTTTAACGCCAATACATAAGCAAACCGTAAGAAGCAGAAAGCGGTTAGAGAAGGAAGAGCATAGGAAAGACAAAAAGTAGCAACCGTCAACTGTTTACTTCCAGCTGGTAGCGTCATCCCGCTGCTTAGGGCTCCTCTCCAGGCCTGTTTCTCTCCATAAGTATTTCTGCTGTGCATGCCGAAGCCATCTTCTTGACTGTTGGAGAGGGTTACATGGTAGGGAGGGAGGGTCCTTCAGCTCCCTCCCCCTCTCGCTCTGGGGAAGACGCTGCAGTTGGAGTTTGCCTTCTGTTGGGGAGCTGGTCAAGGCAGGACAGACCTGGTCTGAGAGGTTATCCTGGTTACCTCATCTTTGACACTTTTGAGGAGTTGCTGGTTGAAAGCCTCCTGAAATTGCTAGAAGTACATCCTTAGTCTTACTTTTAAGATTATTCTTTCTGTTTGGTTTTTTTTTTCCTTTATTCTCAAACAACCACTAAAAAATAATTTCCATTCCTCTGTGACAATGAATGAATGTTAAAAAACTAGCCAAGGCGGGTTGTGCCGGAGTCTAAGTTACAATGGGAATACTGCCTT